ATACACCCCAGGCAGATATACTGTGTGCTCAAAAGCTTCTAGAAGCTGTAGAAGTCTACAAAATTATGTATAAATTACTTTTAAAAGTACTTCTATCAGCGTAAGTAAATGTTCTTGATAGTTACATTAATGAGACTGATACCTTATTATTTTGTTGTCTCAGAAAGATCTGCTCAGATAATGCAAAAATGGGTAAGTCAAAATTATTATGAAGATCGCAACATGCTAACTTACTGATCTCTATACTTCTATAATATTAACTATCCACAACCACTCAAGTTCTTCCTAGTTGTTTTCATGAAACTTTAATCAACACTATGCTGTATAAGATGCTATGTGTGATTTCCTCAGCTGAAGAATTATTTTGAGAGCATGCTACTTGTTTATGCTATGGTTCAAAATGTTCCTGTGATCCTGTCTGCTTGCAGAAGAGACTCAGCTGCTGGCTTTATCAATATTCAACTGCCCAATATTGGGCACATTAATGCTGGGTAACAAATTATGAGTCTATTAACAGAAGTCACTAACAACTGGTTAGAAATCAGAATCAGTTTCAGTGATCAATGAAGTTTCATCAGTCAATGATTCAGAGTCAGGAATAAGGCCTACATTTGAAACTGCTAACATTTATGAGTACTGTGAGTTCTGTTCTCAGCCAGCTTCCACAGACAAGGTATCCCACCAATTCATAGCTCAGCATCTTCTGTTTTCCATTTTTTGGTAAGAACTGGAAAAAAAAGGATCTTTGTGTGAGATAAGGCACTGAGTGACTAACATCCAGAAGGTTCTCTATCTAGTAGTGAATGTTAAGTGGTGGCTAATTTTCAAAGGCTGTAAATAAAATATTCAGGATTTCATGTACTCCCCTACAAAAACTCAATGTGCACAAAAAGCAAATGATGCTGCTTTTAGATAAGTTGGTTACACAGCCCTCAAGTTGCCCTCCCCTCTCTTTCCAGATTCAAAGCATGCAATTCCTGAAAGCCAGCTAAGACACCATGAGATATTATTACCTTTTGGTAATATCCCAAGTGCCATATGGGAAAAGTATTACAATTGAATAAAGGAACCTGGCAAACCTGGAAGAAAATTGTGACTTCTGACTCAGGGAAGCCTCATATTGTATTCATTTAGTGTAGTGGGACAGCACAGAAATGTAATGAACTTCTGTTGGAAACACAGAAATCCCCACTTAATGCTTTATTTAGGAGGTGGCCATGTGTCCAGCCAAGCAGCAAATACTTCAGAGGCACATACAGTTAATCTTATTATGAGTAGTTATGAAGCAAAACACCAAAGAGAACAATTCTGCCTAACCCTAATCATATTTGTATCACTTCACAGACAAGCCACCTACAATCTAGGGACCACAGTAACAAGGAAATACTTTCCTTGTTCAATACTAGTTTTTAAGCATTTTATGTTATGCAAAAGTGTTAGCATTCTAGCATGCTTTTTAAGCATTCATAGAGGTGACTGCTACTTACTAGAGTCTTTTTCTTTCTTACTAGAGATTTTTGTCTCTTACTAGAGATTTTTCCACAAGGGAATCTTTGAGCAAATTCATTCCAATGTTCAGAGTTTGTAACAGATGGCTTAACAAGCCAGAGTAATGTCACTGAGTTTGGTGTTGGCCTTTGGAACATCCCCAATAAACCCATCTTCAACGTGCCGAAAACCTCTTAAAGAAAGCAGATTTACTTGATGATTTTGCAAAAAATTTGCATAAAGACTAATATTACTACTGAAATTATTGTTTTATAAATTCATTCCAACTTGTAGTATCCTTGAGGTATTAAAATGTAAATATTTACCTAGCCAGAAGTGCTTTTCCTTAGTCTCTCTTCAGACTAAACTCCCTATGCAGCTATTTTTTGTTACATAAAAGTAAGCAGCATATTGGAACATTCAGCAAACTGCTCTCAGCTACCCAATGCAATGCAGCATAAAAACTTTAGACAGAAACTGGCAGGAGATATTTCATTACATCTGTGTGATGTTCTTTAACTAGTTTTCGTACATTCCCGCTTCACGTAAATATAGCCATGTACAGCTAATACTGTGGTACAGGTAAATGTTTAAGACTCTGCAAAGATTAAAAGGATACTGTTAACCTCACTCTTGCCTTTAGCTGGAATATTTCCTGATTAAAATATATATATATATGTGTGTGTGTATTTTTTCAATAATTTTAGACCAAGAATCATTGAAATGGCTTTTTTTTTTTTTTCTGGCAGTTCCTTGTAATTTGAGCACTGGAAGCCACAAACATGTTACAGGAACCAAGTAGCCTTGACGTTGTGATACTAAGAGTCTTAAAATAAAGGAGAAGGAATAAAATAACCCCCTGAACCTAATTTCAATTCAAAAGAGAAAAAAAAAAAAAATCCCAGGCTTGTTAACATAAATAGTATGTGCAAATATGCATAAGACAACAGCCCCTTGGTAACATTTTTCCCACAGGAGGGAATTCCAGCAAAATTGTAGGCTATGTACATATACTTTATTTTCTAAACAAAAATTGCATTATGCCAAAAGACATATACATTTCAGCTACTATTAGAGCGTAATTAAATTATGTTAGTTATCTTTGTTTGTAATACAAGGAACAAGATTTCTGTTGAAAGCACAAGGCGCTCCTAAGTTAATATCCTTTCATCTCCCTAAGTGTCACACTGTAGGTGGTCTGCAGTGCTTTCTTTATACAGAACTTTTCACAGGATTTGCTTGATTCAATGCTACTTTTTAGCTTTTGGGTCAAGTGAAAAAAAATAGCAGGAAAGCCACAAGAGGACAAATTCGCCTTTCACTTACACCATGTAAATCCCATTGAATGGGGAAAGCAGGACAAAGACTGAATACTGTGCCTTTGACATAAGGAGAAATACAAATATTTCAAGAACAGGGCAACAAACGTCTTTGAAATTTGCAACGAAGTACCAATTTCAGTAAAACTGCAGGCCCTATTATTTCCTATTCATCGAAAACATATGTTGATGCTGTTGCAGATCAGAAACAATCAGAAGTCATTTTATATCTTATTTCAAAGACTAAAACAGTAGCTTACTTTTAATACATAACCAATTGTTACAAAACATCTGGTGAGCTGTACCTTTCATAGTTTATAGACAAATTCTTTCTTTAAAAGCAAATTGGAAAATTTTATGCCTTCTTTTCCCTATAAATGTAGTATTTCCTCAGTCCCTGTAGAACTCCTTTGCCCTGCTTACTCACTATTTCCATGCTGCTGGTGGACATGGATATTGCATATATATCTTTAAAAAGAAAAAATAGATTTTCTAGGGCAAACTCTTGCTCTCCCCCTCTTCATGTCCCACCTCCTCTTTTCCTTGAACCTATCCATGTCACATTTTGCTCCCTCAGCATTGCTGCACGGCAGCCTCGCATGGTATGGCTGTTAGCACAAAGTCTTCCATGCATTAAGGAAAAAACAATGTCATGCCAAACATTCCCAGTGTAAAATACGAAACCACTTTCCTTTAAGAAAGGGGCTGCTAAATTTTATGTACTCTGAGGTTATAAATGCTAAGACGTGTTACCCAAGTCTCTCTTACTGTATTAAATCTTAAAAAGCTTTCTGCAATATTGCGTTTGCCTCATAAATCTCATCGGTGTTTGAGTAATGCACTGGGATCAGATGTGCTAAAGTAGCAGCCTCCGAGCACACAGACCAACCTTTCAACTGCTAACCATGACACTGCAGTAGATTATCAAGTGATAATCCAAGAGGCACAGCCACATCTTTAAGCCTTCCAAGGCCAGGAGGGCCAAGGGGTGCAGGAGTGTATGAAACATCAAGTCTCTCCTGATTAGAGGGGTTGACATTGCAGAGTGCTGCAGCAATGAGAGACATCCCATGAGAAAGCAACATGTAGGGAGAGAGGGAGAGAGCATCAGACTGACAAATAACCCAGAAAAGAGGGTCAGAAAGCAGATCTGCAAAGTGAAAAGGATGAGCTCAGTAATCCTCCGGCAGGAAAAAGGAAAAAAAATCCCCAAAAGTTGTTAAAAATGATTCCTAAACAGGAAAATGGAAACGGCACCAGATCCATGTTTAGTTGTAACATGAGCAACAACCAGAGGATGTGGTTTTAGTAAAGACAGACGTTACGCAGAAGGATGAGGCAATGGTTATCTAAATACAGCAAAAGGACTTATGTTTCCCAAAGGCCCAATATACACCAGGTTGCCCCATAACACAAAACTTTGGCAATCAACTCTGATAGGAAAGAGTTCTACTATTTCCAATTTGCTCTGGGTAGAGTCTGAAGCAGGTACACATCAAGTAATATTAGTTACAGGTGAGGAGAAATAGTAATCTCGTCTAGAATCCAAGCACATATCACAGTTCATAACAATATAAGTTCATAACAATATAGGCAAATTTGTGGTTTGCAGAAAGATGCATTGATAGAGTTGAATGTGAAAGAAAGAAAAAAAAAAAAAAAGGAACAAAAATAACAAGAAATTATGTTATGAGTACCTAAATATTAGACCAAGAAAGAGATTGTTCAGCAGAGAAGGAAAACAATCAACAGGGGATACCAAGAAAGACCAAGTATTTAGTAGCTTTTTGTTTTCTGTTGTCATTAAAATGGCAGCTGACAACTATGGTAAAAGAAAAGGGTTAAAAAAAAAAATGTTAAAAAAATGGCAACATGGGGAATAAAAAATACATAGGTAACATGGAAATCAGTGGGCCCTGTGAAAGTCATCAAGTGATGTCTGGAGAACTAGTTCCCGCAATTTCTGAGACATTATCAGTTATCTTTGGAAAACTGTAAAGGAGCAGCGACATTCCAGATGAGTGGAAAAGGGCAAACACAGTGCTTATTCTTCAAACAGATGCAAAAACGCAGCTAGGAAATAGTAGACCACTTCATCTTGTAAGTCTCCTACAGTAATGGAATAAATACTTTTAAAAAAAAAAAAAAAAGAGACAGAAAAAAAAAAAAAAAAGAGAGAGAGAGAGAGACAGAAATTGGTAGGTAGCACCAGACACATACACGTAAACTTCAAACCCCACAAAACCAATCTCCTTTCCTGCAATGACAAGCAAACATGTTTTGCAGATGAGGGAAGGAACATAGGGAGATCACACAAATGCTGTCAGATAGCTTAACATTACTTAACATATAGCTTAATGTTAGTAAATCTTTTGACACTGGCTAATTTGACGTTCTTGTATGCTAGTTCAGAAATGGTAAATTGTAAATGCTGCAGGGTGAGTGCAAAACTAAACGAAGGACCAAACACAGAGAGGAATTTTAAGTGGTTCATTGTAAAAATAAATAAATAAATAAGGTATTGAATACAGTCTAGTACTACTCAGTATCTTCCTGAATCACTTGATGATGGAGTAAATATCCATACATACACATAGAGAACTGCAGATACATTGATATATGGATATAAAGTGTGTATCTGAATTAACTGCAGTTAACAACAGTTGCAAAGAGCTGGAAGTTCAGTCAAAGACAGGATTAAAGTCCAGAATTATTTTTCAGAAACTGGTTACTGATTGCAAAAGATCAGAATGTGATTAAATAAGGACAATTACAAAGTGTTACAGGTAAGTAGGAATAACCAATTACATAAAGTACAAATAGAGAATGAAAGGAAAGCATGGTTACAGGAAAGCAAAAGCAAACCATGAGTCACCATGCTGTATTTCTGCCAAAACCCAAGCCTCACTGGAGATACTGGCAGAAGGGATTGCTCGAAGGCATATGAGGTAGTTCTCCCACCCTGCTTGGCACTGGAAAAGGATCAGGCAGGTTATATGAGTTTGTGTCCAGTTCTGGACACCACAAGCCCAGAGGGTTTGGGCTCAAGGAAAACATGAGATTTTGGATAGTCTGTGGTTGGAGATCTGTCCGCAATAGTTGAAGAATAGATGCTACTTATCTGAAGGCGGACATGAGACATCATGAATTTCTGCATAGGAAATTCCGAAAAAAAAATGTAACGTGGTGGATCACTAATAACTACTATAGACTTTAAGAAGTTGCATTAATCCTATCACTGTAGTTACTCAATTTGTTGGACAAATATCTCCAAATATAAACAAATTGGTGATGCCTTTGAGCAAAGGAATGAAATAACCAATTTCTTGAAATCCATCCCAAACCTACTGCCTGTGATTTTGTACCAAGTTGTGGCAGTAACTACTTACCTGGAACTGATATCTTCTGCCTTTCCTACAACTAAATGTCTGACCTCACCTGACTAGTAATTAGCCCATTTCTTGTTTTATTCTTGTTTTATTAAAATGTTGGCAATTTTTTTCTCTGCTGTGTCAATACATCATGTGCACAACCTTACAGTCTCCCTTGCTCATGGAAGGTTAACATCCTTACTGCCTTTTTCAAGCCTTTTTACCAGAAGTCTGAAAAACAAACCATATAATCCAAACCATCCTCCTCAGTGCCCATGAGTATCTGCATCATTCTCAGCCACCACAAAGGCAGGCAGCCAGGTGTCTGATGTGCCATGAGAGTGCCTGATGGCCTCGTGGTCAGGGCTCACTTCTATCTCTTTTTCCTTTTCACCTTCATGCCTGTGTGGTCCACCAGCTCCATAGGCCATCAGACATTCAATGACTTCTCTGGGGTGAAGCTGCCTTTTCTGCTCTTCATTCACATGGTTTTTAGCAGGATGACTCCTGAGAAAAAGCCCCAGGCACTGCAATTAATTCATTATTATTGACCATAGCAGTATTAGTATTTTCTGTTTACAGGTACTTACATACATTTTGGTATCAGTTTGTAGAAAATGCATATTGAGAGAGAGAGGTGATATTTAACCTTTTCTAAATAATCTGTCTGCAAGATTATTTCAGATTTTCAGATATGAAATTTTGTGTTCCTTCTATATGAGGTACAACATAATGATTTGGGAAAGGCAGAGATAAGGGAGGGGATGAGGCTTAGGTCCTTTGTTGTCCTTCTTAAGTCTTCAGTGAACTCTTCTAGGGAAATATTGCTCTGCTTGTTATTCTTATAACAGGCAGATATTCATTCTTATCTTGCATCCACCTGCTTATCTACCACATTACAGAGGGGTCCTGCCCACATTTAATCTACTGGTTAAATGCCAGTTTAATTCTTCTATGCTGTAGGCCACAAGAAATGTGTTCAAAGGACAGCCCCTCATATACACACCACAGTATAAACATTTTAATGAAAGAGAATTTTTTGTAGGAGGAAAAAAAGTTCCTTTGCTTTGAAAATAATGAATAAGCTCTTATTGAAATGAACCCTTTATGTATATCTTTATGTTTCTGATCTGGCAGCTTTGAAGAGCTGATATCATCAGTTTTAGAACCTGGAGTCTGGCCACTATTCTCTAAAACATGCTTTACAATGGAAAAGACCATTTGAAAGCAAGTAAAACAATACAGAGAAAAAAATGCAGGTACTTTTCAAAGCTTGCAAACTTTTTATTACTCCACAGCATTTTTTCCTAACTTACGAATCATTCTGTGTCTCTCACTTATCCATACCGCTGCCCCGCTGCTCTGCTGCTACATTTGGGATGCTACAGCTAGTGATGGCAAAGTTTAACTGCAGTTTTACTTTTCCATTGGAAAATTGTTGTGTAATTCTCATCGTGTGATGCTCTGCCATTATTCTTGCCAGAGTGTGCAATGGATTGGCCCAAGAGAGTAAATATCTTTTCAACTCCTCTCATTTGTAGGCACAAAAGCATACTTGTGTAAGCCTGACTGCACTGAAATCAGAAGCAAACTCACATGTGGGCTTCAGCAGAGGTGGGAAAAGTGCTCTAACAGCACTCATCATTTACACAGCACTTCCCACAGAAGCCTCCAGAGTAGGCAGAGAATCTGAAGCAGGGATCAGGCCATAAGGATCAGTAAGGCTCTAAGTCTGACAACTGAATTCAACAGGAGCAAAGACAGAGTTTTTCAACCCCTTCCTTCCCCAGCCCATGCAGTTTACTCACCCAGAGCTGCAGCAAGAAGCAGTTGGAGCCTTTCCGCACACAGACTGTAAGCCATGACTTATGACATATACCTGAAGGGCAGCGTGGTCCCGGCTGGTCCCTGTGCACCAGCAGTCCTCCTCCATGGGAGCTTGCCATCTTGCCACCACAGGGCTCCCAGGCACTCGTGGTTCCAAAACCATCCCAAATGAAACTGGGGCTTGAACTGTAAAAGCATGTCTAAACAATCCAAAAATGCATCACAAGCTGAGCTGCCGCAGCAGTTTAAACCATATAAATATTAACAAGCATCATACAAATATTAACAGACTTTTTGCTTATAATGAAAAATTCAGAATCAATTTCCTTCTCCTTTTTTAATCATTTCACTGCCTTCCAAAAGAATGGAATCTGTATCAAAATGCGCTCAGGAACAGGAACTTGTTTTGAGGTCTCACGTCCTGGAAGGCACAGATCCTTTTCTGTGCATGCTGCTCAGAAACATGTCAGAAGGCAGATAGAAGATTTCAAGAGAAGTCTTCAAATGCTCTATGGAGCCAACAGGAGGTAGCAGTTGGGTGGCATATCTGAAGACAAAATGACAAGAGGATGAAGAAAGACTTCTGCAGTAATCCAAGGAGACGCCACCAACTCCAGCAAACCATGTTCTCCAGTGAACCTCAGTGTTCCCTTGTGTATGTACTGTCCTCTGCTTGTGAACCACGTAGTCACAGCAGAAGTCAAGAGTACTGAAGTCCTCTATTTTCCACAATTAGCCTTATCCTACTGGAGCTTGTGCAAGTGAAGTGTCAGGCAGCGTGGAGCACAGCTCTTATGAGCTCACACACTGATTATCCCGCTCTCAGCATACCCCTTCCTCCCACTTGTGCCAAGAGGGAGGGAGCAGGAGGCAGAGAAGGTGGCTCCATAAATTCAGTAGGTCAGAGTATCTATCCTCATGAATTCTCTGGATTTGCAGTTACAAACAGCATCTAGCCTCGGGACCACAGGAATTAGTCTTTGGGGTCTGCAGTCTCCAGTTTTCAAAAGTTTCTTATGTTCATGTAAATGCTCATCATAATGGAAATTAGACTGTTTCACTCACAGGCAAATTAAATAACAACCCTCTAATGCTGAGAGCAGATGAAGATAGCACTCACAGAAGATTTCAATATATAGCACTGTTCTCTTGCACATTAAGATGTTTTGGGTAACCAAGCTCAGCTCAGCTCTGAGGCATCAGGACTCTGTTTTTGCCTAATTGTTCAATTTCAACCCAGGAACAACCCAAAGATCCCCATATGCCTTCTGCCATGTATCTCACAGCTGTCCTGAAAGATGCAAAACCACCATGGTTTTTTTTCTACCAGAAAGGTAATAGGGTGGATGTGGCTGGGCTCTTTTCCTGTAACCATGCAGATCTCTTCATCACAGACAGTCCCATAGGTTGCAGTCATGGGAGAAGTAAAGGCACTGCCAGAAAGCTATTTTTACAATCGGGGAGACCTCTGAAACTGGTCACGTATGTTTTTTTTGCCTAGAAAGAGAATCAGGCTCAGATATGGACATCAGTATTTGTCCACTTGAACTTCCCCTTCCCCTCCTCCCTCATTGTCCTGACTCCCCTATTTCCTTCCTCCCTTCTTCTCCCCCTTCCTCAACAGCTCCACAGCCTTCAGAAGCATCAAGACTACAAATAAACATTGCAGAATGAAACACTCAAATGAACATGCAGCCCCCATGGCTTGCAACCACTTGGTGACATTTTCTTCTACCTCCCATATATAATTCACGGCAGGATGACTTTGTCCTTTGTTCTGCTCCCACAACATGGTCCATGTTGCTCTTTGCAGAAGGATTATGGCCACTGCAGGTAGCTTGTTTGCTATGTGCATCTCTCCATAGGGTGGCTGACAAGCTCCAAGCCAGGAATAAGATGGCCTGTAATACATCAAGGTCTGCTGGGCAGCCTCTAGTGTTTTTCTTCAGCCAAAGTTCAGTCTTAATAGTTCATTTATCTGAAGATCCCTTCTCCATGAACATGTGAGACCAGACAGCTCTCTTATTTTAAGTAATTTTATCTTATTTTCAGTATGACAGCAATGGGTGTGCAGTGAAAAATGATGATCAGGTCTGTGGTTCCTGCTGGAGAAGTCATCTTGCTGGCCATGCTCAGATTCGCTGCATCCTTGATCCCTGCAAACAGGGAAGCCCAGGAGGCAGCACTGGAAAGCAGGTGCACGCTGGTTGCAGTCCTTACCTGAGACATGGACCAAGCACACATGGACAGCCATTCAAGCAGACAGAACATCACTGAGAAACTGGAAGGGTCTGCACAAAAATGCATGATAAGATGAGCTGCCACAAAATATCCTCTGTGATTTTCCAGAAGGGGAAAAAAAAAAAAAAAAAAAAAAAAAAAAAAAAAAAAAAACCACTATTATGTTTCTGATCATTTTTTTATTATTATTATTATTTCAATTGTTCCACTGGCCTCAGTCAAACTCTTTCTTCTCCCAGATCTCAACTAAAACAGCTCAACTATTCAACTATGTTTTTCCTTTAATAATACTTACTTCTTCTCCTTTTTTTTTTTTTTTCAGAGCAAAAATCTGTTCTTTTTATACTTGCTTTACAAGGCAAATTTGGCATACAGTTCACTTGCGTATCCTGATGTGGGCTTATTGAAGGCAGGTGCACACTTTAATATATATGGGCACAGAGACCCCCTTCCAGACTATAAAAGAATACTGGGCATGTCCTCATGTGGAATATCTCTAGTTTTTTATTCATAAACCTAAAAATATGAGCTGTTCTTTCACCTATATGCATTACGAGTGAGTGTGAACAGGCAGGCACCATATTTCTACATTACACAGAGATTGTGTTAAAATGGCTACATTAGTGTTTTTTTAGCATATTGTCTTTATGTGATAGTAATGGGAAAAGGAAATGTTACTGTAATGTTGCATTTTCATTGCTAACAAGAGAGAAAAATGCAGGAAAACATAACATGGCAAAATAGCTTCAGCTGGTCCAACTGCCATCATTTTATTTAGTGGAAAGAGGTGATACAGCATGCTGTCAAACAACAATCTTTTATTATTAACCAGCATTCCTATTGCATTAATAATACACAATGGTAGGAGAAAAATTATTCTGTTTGTAATGAAGAAACATGGCCCACAGGATGCCATCATTCCACACTGAGATCTTTACAATGCAGTATCTTTTTTATTTTGATAGATCTCTATGTAAAATGAGGATGTTAAAAGAATCTCTTCTGCCTTCTAAAAACTCAATGAAAATAAGAGAGATTAAATGGCTTCTATAATTTTATTCCCATTTTCTTGTCTGTGTTCACTCAAACCTATGTAAAGCCAAATCTATGCAGTCTGCAAGCCCACTCAGCTGTCATTATGGCCTGAGACATGTCCTGGTCACCTAGACCAGTGAGTGACCTGATGGAGCAAAAGATTCTTCATTTCTGAAGAAAATGAAGGAAATCAGAAAGAGACAGTGGGGCTGTGGCTGCACAGGGTTTCCCTTAGTACAGAATCAGGTTGTAGCTGGAGGACAGAAGTATCCTGAGCCCAGATATGGCCAAAGATATTCAGCAAGAGATTTCTGAGGCATCTAAATACTTTTGTGAGCCTGTAAGTGCATCTACACCAGTAACTGAAACAAGTCAAAGGCATGCCCCAGGGCACCACAATTCAGTTGTCCAACCTGCTAAGTTGTTAGGTCTCTGACATGGCTTCAATACATGCCACCTAGTTCTCCCCCCGAATTCTGAACTTTGGGGATGAAAGTGAGGCAGAAGCCATTCCCTGGAGGGAGCAAAGAAGCAACTCACCAGGTATGGAGGAGAAAAGAGCATAACCACATCTGCAGTTGCTCTTCAGGGCCAGATACTCTCAGAGCTGGAGGGATTTAGGAATACCCTTCAAAAATGGCTTTGTTACTCAACATTTATATCTGTTTGTGTTTGTTTGTTTTCCTATGGATTTGTCTGAGAGCTAGGAAAACCATACCTTTTCCCTCCATGTAGCAAAAATTACAGCACTACAGAGGACCCCCTCTGAATTTGGGCTCAGTTGTGTCAGCCGCCAAGGTGTTTTTACTCCTTAAGTTATACTAAATAGGGAACTGGGCTTCTAAGTCACCTGTGTATAAATACAAATTATATCTGTAGTCTTTGATTTGGTCATCTCTTAATTTCAGTCAGTTTGCTTACAGTGACATCAACACCTTGTTGTGTTCTGGCTCAGATGGCAATTACTTTTAACCACTTTAGGAGGTTATTTTCATTCTGTCCCATATCCAATCCTACAGGTCAGTGCATTTCTCTTAAATAACATGATTTTGAGGGCAGCCCATCTTAAAGCCATGTAGTTTGGAAAGTGCAGGGCTATGCACAGCAGACCTGCCTTGAATCTGTGCCAAAGAGCAGCAGGCCCCGGCTCTGGCCTCAAATTTGCACTCGAGCACAGACATACACCCACACAGCCAGGACAGGAGATGAACTTGGGCTCCAGCCAGAGCTCAGACCCAGGCCGACCCCTTAGTTAGAGAAACATTCTGTTTCTCTCCCTACTAGTGGCTGAAGATGTTTAGAGATTTCCTGCATTGCCACTTCACCCTGTGCTTTGAGGAGAGGAAATTTCCTCTGACTTGCGACCAAAGTATACCATGTTTATTTGTGCTGATGTGTACATGCATGCACCATCATGTGGCAATGGCAATGCTCATGTGAGCAAATGTTCACTCATCACCTAGCAAAGGCACACATTCGCAAATGCACACACAAGCCTCTCTGTGACTTGATGAGTGTAAGTGGAGCAAAACTCCACTTGCTGCTCAGATTATTTTCTGGCCATTTTCCCCATTATATAAGATCAAAAACAATAAACTTCAGCTTGAAAATTTCATTCCATTCTTAAAAGATCTAGAGGCCATCACAGGACTGGAAACAGGGAGAAAAAGTCTTCATATGCAACCTATTCATCTCAAAACCAAAGTGCTGCTGTACCATTTTGAAACGTTGAGTTTGCAACCATGATATTCTAGCTCTTATCCCTGCCACATCACTTCTGTGCTTAAACCTCACTGTACAACTTATGTGAACAGTGTTGGACTCCCTCTTCTGATAAAGCTTTGACAATATCAGCTGTCAAAGACTGGGCTTTCTCAATGACCTTTGTAGTTCAATATTTGTTCTTCCACCGAAAGCTGCATTCCTGCATATGCAGCTAATACATAGTAAACTCCATAAAATTTTATCCGCTGCTTCACAACTATTGCATTACAGCAATTTGGTGTGAACATCTTGCTCAAATAATACCTTTATAGTCATATTTATATTTCATTTTCTTTTCATGCATCCATTTTTTTCTGTGGTAGCTGAATTAGCACATATAAATAATTTGTTAGCTGTTCCAGTGCTGTTCCAAGGTGGTATCACTCTTCCAGATCTAACAGTGTAACAAAAGGAATAACCTAGACACACAAATTAAATCACTTCTTTTTTTAACTCTCCATATGAGAGTGACAGAATCAAGATTGAAAACCCTGTTATTGCTCACATGCATAAATCATGAGCCAGAGAAAATTTGCATCCTTGATCTCTCACCATTGATACAAACCAAGAAAATATTTTGTAGGCAAGGCTTCCTTGTTGGTGTCTGTACTACTTAGCTGTGTTAGAAACTTATCCTTTGAAATCCTCAGTGAATTCTCTATTTTAAACCTTGTACTGTGGGGAAAAATGCATTAAAGCACAATTCTACTCCAAGGAATGATGGTAAAATCAGCACCTTTTCACTCTGTTTATCTTCTCCATGCATGTATTCAGAGACATCTCTTCTTCCATTAGTGATAATGGGAGGCTTTTCCTACATTTTATTCCTTTTATCACTGCAGAGGTCGTACTGGTAAGATAGCTCTATATCATTAACAGCATTACAAAGCCAAGCACCAGCTCCCACACAGAACAGAGATAGGAGCACACACTGGAGACAATGGGGTGACATAACCCAAGTATCTGAAAGGAGGGTTTTGCCAGAGCAATATTTGACCTATGGCTGAGGAGGTTCAAGACAACAGTACTCTAGTTTTCTCTTCCCCCACTGAGTTTACAGATCTGATTGTCAAAGCAGAAGTAGCATCTTGTCTCTTTACAAACTGAGAAGATTTTGAATTAGAAGTATCTGATAACATAAAATGCCATCAAATCTCTTCAATCATTTTTCTGACCAAAGCTGAACACTCAAAAGTTAGACCCTAGACTCTTGTTTTCACTGAAACACTTTCTATCTGTCCTGCAGACAGGAATGCATCCAGAGATTTCCCCATTTCTGAGCACAGCAGACATGTCAGATGACAATTCCATTGGCAGCTGACAATATCTCATTTCCACTAAAAAAAAAGGACTTTCTTCTCTCCATCTCTGTTCATTGCTCTTCTTCCTTCCCTCACTTTGCCTGACTGACTTTCCACCAGGCTGGTTGGTTGAATCAGTTCACAGAAGGACCTGATGAGCCAGCACAAAAGAAACGGCAAGAAGATGACCAGGAGCAATAGCAGAGGGTGGAGGAATGAGGGATCTTAGCCTTTCAGCAACAGTAAGCTATTAAAACATTTGCTACACCTCGGGGAACCAGAGCCTAAACTAGGTGTGAAGAACAAGGCAGTGCAAGGCAGTGCAGATCCTAGAACAGTGGCTTAGCTCAGACAACCCTAGAACAGTGGCTTAGCTTCTAAACAGCTTAAATTAGATGAAATCAGTCCCCAACAGGAGTACTTGAATTGCCAATGCAAAGTGGACTTGCTTCATTTTTATCACATTTCAGTCCAGGGCAAATCTTTGGGTCCTTTTCAGATTCTACTCAGGAGCACTGCAGTGATGAAGAAAGGAGAAAAATGTGATTAAATTACAGAGAACCTTGGGATTTCAGCTTACTTCTGGACACTTATGATTGCAACATATACGTCCTTAGTAGGACACTCAGAGGCTTGACTGTGAACTTGCCATTATTTTCTATTTTTTTCAGGAAAATTAAGTTCATATACTCAAGAGAGTTGAACAAGATAAGAGAAACAAGTCCACTATTTTAAAGGAGCAGAAGGTTAGTGCCAGGAATGAAGGTGTGCTGACTGGTGTAGTGTGTGGTAGGGCCAGATGTTCAACAATATTTATGCACCAAAAGCAGCTGAGATAATAAGCAAGAGATGAAAAAATGTCCTTTGGACCACTTCCTTCAAAACCACTGGTCTCTGTTTACTGATCTGATTCAAGTGAGATTTCTAGGAAAGTATGAGAGGAGAATAAAGGAATGGAAAACAGCTTTTTTGTGAGTACACATTTGCATTAAAG